TCAATCAATCAATCAATCAATCAATCAATCAATCAATCAAAAAAAAAAAAGCAAAATCGAATGAATCTTCCGCTCGAACATGGAAATACACAATACTTCGTGTGACACTGTGTGTGTGTGTGTGGGCCTGTTGGGGGTGGGGGGGGCGACCCCGCCCCCATCAATCAATCAATCAGTCAATCAATCAATCAATCAATCAATCAATCAATCAATTAATCAATCAACGGAAAAAAAAGCGCTGTTTTTTTTATTTTTATTTTTTTTGAAATACCTTCATTCACCCAACCCCCCCCACCCAAAAATTTGTTTTTATTTTTATTTTTTTTTGTTTGAGGGGGTGGGGCTGGGGTTGCGCCGCCCCATGGCGCTTCCCAAATCCCAAACCCCCCTCCCCACTGGCCGCCATGCGGCCGCGGACACGTCCGCGGGGTCGCGGCCTAGGCCACGGCCGCGGACTTGTCCGCGGATGGCCGCCGCCGAGGGGGATTGTAGATTATCATCGGACTAACCAGCCCAGGTAAATTCAATCTTGTGTCTAATCTGACAACGGTGCCTTTTCAGCCCAGGGAGGCCTCATAGCCTTAGGGTGGCCTGATAGCCTTCAGGGATCCCCCACTGGGGGGCACCGGCCAGGGGACAGCCAGTAGCAGAGGGACCGAGCATCATCTGAGTGGCCAGTCGCTGTGCCTCCCTGAGTACCCCTCCCCCTACAGAGACTGCTTTTTTAATGCCAATTGGGGGGACCAACGGGCTATCTCTAGGTGGCGGGCGCCATGCCTGCCCACGAAGGTACATGAGGCCGATAGGGATTGAACCCAAGCCCTCCTGAATGCCACTTGCGTGCCTTACCAACTGAGCTTCTTTTGCTTTTCTCCTGTTTTTTCAGCCTAGATATTCGTAATGAACCTGTCATCCCACTGCCACTCAGTGTCACACTGGATTGGATAGGAGTTTCTTTTGCTTTTCTCCTGTTTTTTCAGCCCAGAAATTCGTAATGAACCTGTCAGCCCACTGCCACTCAGTGTCACACTGGATTGGCCACACTCCTATCCGACTGCTAATGGGACCTCGCCCCAGAGGTGGTCTCAAATTACCTTTCGTTTTTTTTTTTTTTTTACGTTCCCGAACAGCGGCCTAACTCAGTTGGTAAGGCTCGCAAGTGGCATTCAGGAGGTCGTGGGTTCAATCCCCATTGGCCTCATGTACCTTCCTGGGCATGCTTGGCGCCCGCCACCTAGACATAGACCACTGGATCCCCCGATTGGCATTGAGCAGCGTCTGCCGATGTTCGTAGGGGAGGGGACCTGAGGGGGGGCTCAGGGATTGGTCCTGTTGGCATGGTCCGTAATGCTACCGGCTGTCCCCTAGCCGGTATCGCCCACCTGCAGGTTGGGAGCAGCCCCCGCATGTTCTCTCATGAACACAGTTCTGGCTGCTACTGATCCGTAATGCTACCGGCTGTCCCCTAGCCGGTATCGCCCACCTGCAGGTTGGGAGCAGCCCCCGCATGTACTCTCATGAACACAGTTCTGGCTGCTACTGGGTTGAACTTCCCGTATGCCTACAATTAGGAGTAGTGGTAGCACTGGTAGGTAGGTAGTGTGAGGTGCTGTCTTCCTGGCGGCTTATACACCCAAGATAGGCTCGACTCTGTTGAAAACTCCTGTGGAATCAGAACAACGGACATGGGAAAAATTAAGAGAACTGTTGGGGATCTCTGGTATTCCGCAAGCAAGTCACTTGCACCTACTTTGGGAACAGCTGCAAAATCTTCCCTCAAGGAAGCAGGCTGGCCTTCTGTGGATGTTATCTCGAGGAATCATCCCAACTACATCCTGGCTGCAACAGAGAAAGATGGAGGTGGAGCCACTCTGTGTGCAGTGCGGGAGAGCTGAAAACTGTCCGCCACCTCTTCCTGGACTGCCCAAAGGCACAGCAGTTGTGGACCTGGCGGAGGCACCACTGCCAAAAGTTCACAAACAATGCGATGACGTGGAGTGAGGACTAGATCTTGAGCGGGCGTCTACCACTCAATTTAAACGCTCAGAGGGGTTGGGGATACATTGCACAGGTAGCAAGGGTGATCCTGATTTGGGTTTTATGGCAGGGAAGAAATGCAAGGATTTTTAGGGACGAAGAGACACCACTGCAGTTGAGACAGTCGGAAGTACGTTTTCAGCTCAGATTAGCAGTGCAAGTTGATTGGGCTCGAAGAGTAAGTTAAAAAAAAAAAAAAAACGGGCAGGCGAAAGTTTCAGTGTTTCTTGTCAACTTGGGGACAGAGGAATCAGCGAGCAGCAGGTCCTTGGCTCCTGCATGCTCGTTCAACCTGAACACTCGGTTGCAGTATAGTCCGCAGTAGGACGGCAGTGGGAGGAGGGATTGGGGCTGACGGCGACGGCGGTGGCAGCGGCGACGACAATGAAGCACACTGACGCAGCTACAACAGAGACATCAACAACAACAACAACAACAACAACAACAGTGAGTGACGTTGACGGTGAGTGGGGGATACTGGCAAAGGCGGCAGCAGTGGGGACGTCAACAACGAAAACAGAGGCAACGATAGTAATGACATTGACAGAACTAAAAACAACACCACCGACAACAGTCGCAATGACAGCAACAATAACGGCATCAACGGCGACAACTAAAACAACAGCAATAACATGGGGAACGACAACGGCTGCCATAACGACAGCAGAGCGGTGGGGAGGGATTTACGACTTGATTGGGCTAGCGAGGCGGGGTCTGGGGGGGAAGATGCGTCTTACCGGTCCCCCCCCTCCCTACCAGGTGTTATTACATGTCGACTTGTGTGTCTGGCACCGGGAGGGAGTTCGATAGAGATCTCCCCCTCGCCGATTTCGCATGGGGGATGACGTTGCAGGCGCGGATTGAAGTTGCTCGGTTTGCACGTTCAATTAGGAAGGGGTAGGGTCGTCCCTCAGGTGGAGAGGAGTATAGTTCAGGGTTTCGTTAGTCTAATCGATTAGTGGGTGTTTGAAGAGTGCCTGCTGGGGTTTGATGATGATAATTCTCAGAGCAGATAGACGGAAGGCCATTCTTCCCCGTTACGAAATTACTCCATGGGCAGGAGGTCAATCCTTCCCTGGTGCAGGGAAGTAATCAATGCCTCTGCTCTTCTTTTGGAGATATGGCAGAGATTCGAATTTACACACAATGGATTGAATGCACACCGTGATATCTCCACATATTACGTACTTGGGGCCGTTTTTCAGGTCATACACATCCCATCGATATCTGGGTTTCGTCTCTTGCTTCGATAGATAGGGATTCTCCCATTATGTGACATATATTGACTAACAAAAAAAAAAAAAAAAAAGGACGGCAATAGGGTGGGTTTTGGTTTGAGGAAGGAGTGTGGTACGGGGAGGGGGTTTGCCGAGACAGTGTTATATCTCGGGCCGCCCCAAGCAGGGTCTAGGGGTAGGGGTCAGGAGCGACGTCTAGCTCCTTTCCGGCCTTTTGAGCTTACTATTTTGTTTGGGTTGCACTTTTAGCAGTATTAGGCAGGTAGGTAATGGGGTGGTTTTCTTTGCCTTCCTCCTTTTTTAGGAGGGGCAGGTTTATTTGGGTGACAAAAGGGGTCTTCCTGCGCTACAGTCTAGGCT